CGTGTTTTAAATATGTACTTTAGGCCACAGTCGAATGATCGAACGTTTTACCAAGAGCGTAGATCAGAGAATCAATGCAAAAATTGGAAACGAAGTGCAGATAAGCCGCGGTCGCAGAGCTTTCCGCTGCAGTTCTAAGCAATGGTTTAATCGTAAGATTTTTTGGCCGTCGCGACTGATCTGCTTATCTCGAATTATTGATATTGGTATTTGTAGAGAGTATATTTCCTAGGCCTCTGGCGCCGTTAAGTTATATTTGAATAGTTCTTTATCGTAAAAGCATAACTGGTCACTTAACCCACAGATAATGAAGAAAGGATTATTTCTTGGAAGCATTATCTGAAATTTTCCTGTTCTGTATATCTTTTAGATGAAATACTCCTAAATTCTTCCCTTTTTCGTTCTCTAATTCATAGTAATATGGACTACGTTTCCTATTAACTCTGGCTGGAATAAACACTGGAGCTAGTTTACTATTGAATTTCTTTATCGCGTTACTTTGAGTAAAATTTCATTTCATATTCTGCCCAAACGCTAGGAAATACGGCGATGAACCTGAACTCCTGTGAAGAGATGCCCTTAATGAACCACTAATGGCATTTAAGTTGTCATCCCAATTTGTGTGATCATTTCCAATATAGGCCCTTACGGCTGCTAATACTGATCTATTCAGTCTCTCGCTGGCGTTAGCATGTAGGGAATAATTAGCTGTAGGTTTTTGTTGTACTCCGAAACTGGTAAGAAAAGCCTGGAAATAACTCGATTTAAATTGACTACCATTATCAGAAAGTATTACTTCTGGAACCCCGAAAGTATAGAAAATAGCCCCCTCCAAATACTTGCAAATTTTAGGAGCCGTAAACTTTTTAAGTGGACACCGAAAATGGAAACGCGTGTTGTGGTCGACTACAATGAGTAAACCTATATTGCCCTTCTTCGTGCGAGGATATGGCCCTAACAGGTCAATATATAGCTTTTGAAATGGCCTATCTGAAGTCAAAGGTTTTCCCATTGGTGGTCTAAGAGTAGTGTTTGGACTTTTTGTGGTACTGCAAACTGCACAGTCAGATATATAGTTGCGTGACCATGTATGGCCAAAACAAATGCTCATATGCTCATACCACCATGAGGCGAACTAGGTGAATCATGAGCCTGGTATAAAATATCTGGCACTAAAGCTGTAGGAATCCAGAGTTTCCAGAGGTTTTCCTGGTTGGTCTCTTCTGATGGAAACGAGGTTTTCTTATAAATGTACCCTTCCCTGACTTGAAGATCGGGAAATTTGGACTGGTTGGCGGATATATTCTCTAACAAGTCCAAGTATTCCCAAGATTTAAAGTGTGCAGAGTCTAAGTCAACTATAGGGCCATTTTGGCAAAACTCATCAATGGCTGGGTCGCCGAGACAAAATGTCAGCTACAACATTCTGAGAACCGCTACGATGTTTGATGGTAAATGTAAACGTTCTTAACTTCATTGACCATCGAGCTAATCTCCCTGACAGGTCTTTCTGTCGCATTAACCATTGAAGAGCTGCGTTATCCGTTATAACTAAGAAATCCTGACCCTCGATATACGCACGGAATTTTTTAATACCCTTAATTACGGCCAGACATTCTAATTCGGATACAGAATAGTTCCGTTGTGTCTTAGACAACTTCTCGGACATATAAGAAATCGGTTGTTCTACACCATTTCGCTCTTGAGCCAACACGCAACCAATATCGTAAGAGCTGGCATCGCATAACAAAACAAATGGCTTTGAAAAGTCAGTTGTAATGAGTATGGGTGAGGCTGTAAGGCGTGATTTTAAGGTTTCAAAAGCGAGTGGCGCCCTTTCATTCCACTCAAGCAGCTTTTTCTTTTGCAAAAGTTCAGTCAAGGGAAAACTTATAGTAGCGAAGTTTTCTATAAAACGACGGTACCAACCGGACAATCCTAGAAATCTCCTTAACTGCTTAATCGATGTTGGCAATGGGAATTCGGCAATGGCCTTAACCTTATCTGGATTAGTTCTTATCTGCCCATTTCCAATTATAGAACCTAGATATACGATTTCCTTCATACAAAATTTAGATTTGCTTACGTTGATAGTGAGATTAGCTTTACGCAAGCATAAGGCTATCTCTTGTAGTAAAAGCAAATGTGAGTCAAAGTCCTCGGACAAAACCAATAGAACGTCTAAATATACGAAAACCCGAGTTCGGAGATGAGCTGGTATCACTCGATCCATCAAACGACAAAGAGTTTGGGCCGCATTGCAGAGACCAAAGGGCATCATTTTATATTGATACAATGGTCGATTTGGTATCGTAAATGCTGTGTATTGTCGCGAATTCTCATCTAGCGGAATCTGCCAGTATGCATGTTTCATGTCGATACCGCTTTTAAATTTTGCTGGCGGTAATCGGCTTAAAATGCCATCTATATGCGGAAGTAGGTACGCGTCACGCTTTGTAACCTTATTAACTTCCCTAAAATCGAGACATAAACGATTTTTGTCCCCCTTCTTTACTAATACAGAGTTACTACTCCAAGCACTCGTTGATTCCTCAATAACATCTAAGGCTAACATGTTATCTACTTCGGCGAACATTAGCTTTTCTACCGCTGCTTAACAGGACTGCTACTCCCAATATCTATAGTGTGTGTGGACAAACTAGTACGGCCTAAACCTTCAGACGCAAAAGACGGAAAGTTTTTGATAACTGCTTCAAGTCTAAGTCGTTCTCCTTCATTCAGTTGGTGATAATTTGGAGGCTCGTCATTTTCATCTAACGTTCCCATATCTAGCTCCGAAACTATTGTACTACTATTTGTAATTTTATTAAGCAAACCGAACTTTTGCCAAAATCGATACCTAGATATACGTCTTGCTTTAGATCGGGGATTATAAATAATTTGAGATCTTCTACCTTATCTCCATATGTTACAGAAGTTATAAGTTTTGAAACTACTTTGTTTTCAGTTCCGTTCGCAGCTTTTATTACACCAGAACATTTTTTTATGTTTTTGTGTTTTAGTAAGTTCTGCGCAGCTATGCCGCCAACACAACTAATAGTATCTCCGGAGTCTAGCAACGCTTTATAAGTCTGACCTTCTATAGGAATATCAGTATAAAGTCTCTGATTCGAGCTTAACACTATAGCGGAAACTAACTTTCGTCGATCGTGATGAACTTTCTTCCAAAACTCTCTTGATCTTCTAGTAGATCGTTTGGGTTTCAAACAAGCTTCAATAATATCTACCTTTTCAAATATTTCTTTTTGCTTATTCATGTAATTTTGTATTCTTATATGTAAAGGAACAAAGGAAAAATGAATCTCAGTCTGATTTAAATTTTCTGTTTCCTGGCATTCACTGGTTTGAATGGTTGGATTCGGTTTTGCAACTCCGGATTTTTTGGATGTATCTCCTTGTTGCTCAGGGGAACATCCTTCGGCTGGTTTCCCGGATTACAATTCGGACAAGTTGTTCTGTATTGTTCTTTAGCTCCACAACCGAAGCAACGGATAGTTTTCTTAGCCATGCAATCATCGTACCTGTGCCCTTGCTGGTCACAGTTCTAAGAAGTGATAGGCCTACGTTGAATTTGATTCACTTCTTCTCCTTCGTTTACTATAGCTGTCTCTTCGTCTTCCGTAGATATTTCGTTTACGTAAGAGCGAAAAGGTTTTGGCTTGAACGCTCTGAGATTATTATAAAACTGCTCATGCCTGCGGATTTCGAATCTAAGCTGTGCTCTATTAGCGATTTTCAGATGTAGCAACTCATACTGTAGGCTAGGTTTTGCAGTTCGAACTAATAATTCGACTAATTGTGCCTCGGAAACTCCATTCTGAAGTCTGTCTACCAGACGTTCTATAGTTTCCTGGAAATCTTCAAAGGATTCGTTTTCGCCTTGTCTACGTTTTCTTATTCCCTCCCAAATGTCGTAGTCTGTCTCAATATCTTCGAATCTTTTTCTAAATTCAAAACAAAACTCATTCCAATAGAAATTTGTATTGTTGCGATGAAATTTCCAATACCAATCACATAAGAGCTTGAATTGCTTCTGTTTAAACCGATTCTTTCGAAATTATCACCTGAATTGTTTTGGTGGTACTGGTGTTGTTCTGGGTCGTTCCTAAGGTTCTCCCTAAGCGCTGGATTAATACTAGGTGTGAAATTTGTTTGAGTGGGCTGAAATAATTTTAAGTTTTTCAATTGACTTTTAATAGATGTTTCAATAGTCTTTGCCAGGTAAGAGGTGAGTTGATCAACTAGTTGAGCCTGCTGTGAGCTTATGGTAGACTGGATATAGTTGGTAATCCCTACTTGAGTACTTAACGTCATACCGGACGTGGCTGGTGGTTCTGTTAGGATTCTATCTAAATTCCCTCTTTGTGTATTTCTAGTTGACATTCCTCGTCTTGGAAGGGGTACCTCGGTTTCTGGTTGATCTGGTGTTTCTTCTTACTTGGTAACTTGCGCTGTCATTGTTATCTTGATATTCGCTAATGCTAGATGGTCCAGCTGTTGCGGCGTTTAGTTCAGCGTACAAAGTGTTATTAGAATAAGATAGATTCATTTCGTTGCAATCTGTATTACAAATAGGACACGTCTGTGTGCTCTTTAGGTGATCAAGAAAACATTGCTTGTGAAATGTATGTCTGCAAGGTGCTGTTGCTGTCAAAACTGTTGGAGCAAATGTTGCTTTGCATATAGAACAGCAGTATTCAGTTTCTTGTGGCACTTCTGGTACCTTTTCCGAGCTATTTTTGGTTGCCATTTTATATTAATTTATTCTTTTTATAATCAAAATATATATATATATTTTTTTTTTTTTCGCGTGGAGTCCCACGGACCACTTACCCGCCCAACCGACCGAGGGGCGCAGATAGGAAAATAAAGGTAAAGGTCCGGGGAAAAAAGTAATAGTTAGATCAATCTTGTGCCAATATTAAGTAAATTTGAAACATCATAAAATAGTCTATTATAGTCAGAACATAATTAATTTTGATTTAATTATTATTATTGTTATGAATAACTTCGTTCAAGCTGATTAATAATTTGAATTCTTTGCCAACTTGTTATATTTAATTACCCCACACTGTAATCATATGCTTATGTTTTGAATTCGCCTTACGCTCTTTTATACATGCAGCTCACACATGTACATACATACATATCTCTCTTTATAATCTCGAAATCGAACATTAAAAATCAGTGCATATTAGAGACCGAAACAAGTCGAACGTTTTATTCCATTCTAATAACTCTGCATTCGGCAGAGTCCGCACATTTTGGCGACCGTGACAGGACTCTGCATTCGGCAAGTCCCACCATAAACCACTTCGAATCATTCCCTCTGCATTCGGCGGAGAAATAGATTCCATCAACGCCAGAATAATTGGTGTATTTCGGCACGCAGTGCAGCTCATCGGAGTATTGGCAGTGCGTTTGGCATCAGCGTTGGATCTCCGGAAGCATCGTTGGATCACCGGAATCTTCGCCACTGGATCGTCGTGGATACCTGCATACAGGGTATGCGCATCATAACCGTCGCAAGTACAGATTTGGAGACCAAAGAACAGCGGCACAAAGAGGACGAAAAACTGTAAGCTAGACTCGCAAATGCAATCGCGGTTTTGTCATTCCACTCTGAACCAAAGGGCATTGCCCATATACACACATACAAACTTGTGCAGCTGGTCTGCAAATAAATAAGCCAAAAATTGAGTTATTTTCCCAAGCATCGGAGTGTTTTGTTTTCTCCCTCTGAACCAAAGGGCATTGCCAACATATTTGGAATTGCTTCACTCAATAATTACTCCACAATTAGTTTTCGCTAAATAAATCGTTGCAAAAATGACTGATACTCAACTCGTGTCTTTAAGACAACAAAGGAATACAATTCAGCGAAATATAGTTAATCTCAAAGTTCGCATCGAACTGCAGAACGACCTTGCTGCCCTTGAATGCCAGTCACAAATTTTGGAATCGTATTTTAAACAAATTCTTCAAATTCAATCACAGATCGAACGGCTGGATGCGGCTGACGACGGCCGGCAAGAATTAGAGGACGTATTCATAGAAACCAAGGCAATTATCATCACTCGTATTGGGGCGTCAAAGAAGGACCGGCCAGAAGATGCAAGTTTCTTTAATTCATCGGCAAATTGCGCAACTGGGCACCATAATCGTTTGCCTTCGTTAAAGCTGCCTAAGTTCGACGGGAAGTATGGTGACTACATGAAGTTTATTACTGCCTTTACTAGCATGGTACATGATGACGCTTCTATATCAGCTGTTGACAAATTTAACTACTTGCTTAGCTGTTTGTCTGGCCCCGCGCTGAGTGTTGTGGCCCCTTTTCAAGTGTCCGAAATCAATTATCCAAAGGCGTTAAAGCAGTTAAAGGAGCGTTACGATAAAAAGGTTTTGATTTTCATAGAGCACATATCTAGCTTATTTGATATTCAAATTATGAAAAGATCTGATCCCGCAGCTCTTCGTTGTATCTTGGATACCGTCTCCGCGCTGCGTGAATCGTTGTTGTCGTTAGGAACAGAAGCAGATGTTATGAACGCAATACTAATTCATCTTGTTTTATCTAAAATTGATGCAGATTCGAAATTATCGTACGATCGGGTTCAAGAATACGAGGTGTTGCCTACTTGGGAGGATTGTTATCGCAGTTTAAGCCGTCATTGTCAATTTTTGGAGAGCAACGTTAAACGAACATCTGATGAGAAGCCAAAGGAAAGGCCCACGCAGAATAGAAGAGCCTTTGTTACGGCACAGGGTGGTTGTAAAAAATGTTCTGTTACTGATCACTCTCTCAATCAGTGCCCTTCATTTGGTTTACTAGACTGGCAGGATAAATTGAATTTCGTCAAGCAATCCGCTCTGTGCATAAATTGTTTGCGCACCGGCCATTTGGCGAGCAGATGTCCAAGTAGATCTCGTTGCCGCGTTTGTCAAGGCTTACATCATACTATTCTGCATAGAACTGCTCATCCAGAGCAACCAACACAAATTGTCTCCCACACATCTCAGCAGCAGCGGGAACCCACACATGCTGTTTCCATGCTTTCGCGTCATTCGAGGCGCGCTTTAATTCCTACGGCAATAGTATTGATTAAGGATAAGTTCGGAATATTTCAGCCAGCCAGAGCTTTGCTTGACTCAGGCTCTGAAATAAATTTCATCTCTGAAGAGTTGGCCAAGCTCCTTCAGCTCAGATTCGAGAGACAGAAGTATGACATTTCTGGCATAGGCGATGTCAGAACGCAGATGAGATTCTCGGTCTCAACAACTATTCGATCACGATTATCTGTAAATGAATGGCATTTACAATTCGCTGTAGCCAAGACAATATCGCTTAATCAGCCAGAGCGATTCGTTGACACTTCACAATGGAACATACCCTCAGAGATTGACCTTGCAGATCCAGGCTTCTACATGCCTCACCGGATTGACCTACTCATCAGCACACAAGAGTTTTTTGATTTACTTTCACATGGCAAAATTTCTTTAGGTCCAGGCCTTCCTTGCCTGGTCAATACTGCACTTGGTTGGATCGTTGGCGGAAAGGTTTCTGATATTCCGCAATCCCAAGTCGTAACATGCAACATGGCACGTTCTACGGAGCTGCAAGGTGCATTAGAAAGGTTTTGGCTAATCGAGGAGTTTGATTCGCACGATCAAGGTTTCACCGCAGAAGAGCAGGAATGCGAACGACATTTTGTGGCAAACACAAGGTTTCTCACATCTGGACGAGTCCAAGTTTGCTTGCCATTTAAGGAGAATCCTCACATGTTAGGTAAATCTTTTGAAATTGCCAAATCCCGGTTTTTGCAAAATGAACGGAGGTTGAGCCGCAACCCGTTGTTAAAGGAGATGTACGTTCAATTCATGAGGGAATACCTAGATTTGAATCACATGCAATTGGCATCTGATTTCGACTCTCAAAAGACCCATTATGTAATCCCGCATCATGGAGTCCTGAGATCAGAAAGCACGACTACCAAGCTGCGTGTTGTGTTTGATGCATCGTGCAAAACAACGTCGAACCTTTCTCTGAATGAGTTGTTGATGATTGGCCCAAGCATCCAGCAGAATCTTATCCTAACACTTCTTGCCTTTCGCTTACATCGTCATGCACTTGTAGCTGATATCTGCAAGATGTATCGCCAGTTTGAAGTATCACCAGACGATCGTATGTATCAACTTGTTCTCTGGAGAGAATCCTCAGCTGCGCCTTTAGAATTGTTTCAGCTCAACACTGTCACGTACGGCATGTCCTGCGCACCATTTCTAGCAATCAGGAGCTTGAAATATATTGCAGATAAGTTCTCAAATCAGTTTCCCATCGGAGCAGCAGTACTTAAAGAAGATATGTACGTCGATGACCTCCTTACTGGAGCAGACAGTGTCGAAGAGCTTCATCTCAAGGCTACAGAGGTCACCAGCATACTTTCTAAGGCTGGATTAGAGCTTGCAAAGTGGAACACAAGCAAAATAGAAGGCAACGGAGCAGAGTTTCAATTTAAGGTTGATACCAAAGATGTTACGAAGACTTTGGGCATGTCGTGGCAACCAAAACTAGATGTGTTTTGTTTCAGGTATACCCTACCTACAATCTCTGTCGTCACCAAGCGGAGCATCGTTTCACTTGTAGCTCACCTGTACGATTTGCTAGGGCTCGTATCACCAGTCGTTATTCGATGCAAAATATTGGTCCAAGAGTTGTGGATGCATCGTCTAAACTGGGACGATCCACTTCCCCCTGAGCTTCAATCTCAGTGGAAGCGAATAGAAGAAGATTCGCACAATCTTCAAATCATCGAAGTTCCAAGATTCATTAACTCGTCACCTAAAAATCTATCGGAAATACATGGATTTTCAGATGCGTCGCAGCGAGCTTATGGGTGTTGCCTATATTTACGAACATACATAAACGGAGAGTTCAAATCAATGCTAATCATCGCCAAGTCTAAGGTGGCCCCAATAAAAGCAATTTCATTGCCGCGGCTAGAATTGTGCGCCGCATATTTATTGTGTCAAACATGGGCCAAGATTAAGCATAAATTCGAAAAATACATTGATAGTATTTTCTTTTGGACAGATTCAAGAATCGTTCTACAGTGGCTTACCATGCACTCGTCCAGGCTAAACTGTTTCGTCGCTAACCGGATTTCTGAGATGCAATCAACCACGTCAAACATCACTTGGAGGCACGTTCCGGGCAAGGACAATCCCGCGGACATAGTTTCAAGAGGCTGCGCAGCGTCCGAGCTTATGGAAACTATATGGTTTCGTGGACCAAGCTTCTTACGTCAAGACTCATCTGGATGGCCTCAACCAGTACCAAATTCTCAGGACACCAATGAAGAGTTGGAGCTGCGAAAAGCAACAGTCCTCACATGTACCGATAATGGAAGCAAGGAAGATGTATTCGATGAAGTTATCAACAAATTCTCATCCTATCGGCGCATTTTGCGAGTCATAGCTTTTGTGTTGCGCGTCTTTAATAGAATCAAGGTCAACAAAAAGGTGAACTTAGTCGATGTAATTCATACACCAGCAACTGAATTGCAATACGCGTTCAAGCACATCGTATCACATATTCAGCAGAAGACCTTTTTCAACGAAATCCAGCAGCTAAAGGAAAACAGGATTTTAAAACCCGAATTTCAGAAACTAAATCTGTTCCTAGCAGCGACTAACGGGCCAAACGGTTCGATAACACTATTACGTGTAGGAGGCCGCTTAGCCAAGGCGCCCATTTCACTCGATGCCAAATTTCCTGTTCTTCTACCAAAGAATCATTGCTTCACGTTGAAATTTGTTGAGTATCTCCACCGGCATCACATGCACGCTGGACCAAAGGCTCTCATTGGAATCCTGCGACTTCAGGCTTGGATTGTAAACGCCAGAGAAGTTGTGCGAAAGATTGTACGGCGCTGCACACACTGTTACCATTATAAGCCTCGTTTAATGGAACAAATGATGGGATCACTTCCAGTTGATCGCTTTCATTCACAACGACCTTTTTTTGTAACTGGAGTCGACCTATGTGGACCATTTTCCACATCATACCGCATTCGAAGCAAGGTGCCATATAAAACATACATGGCTGTGTTTATATGCTTTTCGTCAAAAGCAATCCACATAGAACTCATTTCCGATCTATCCACTAATAATTTTATTCTCTGCTTAAAGCGCTTCGTCAGTCGCAGAGGCATCCCACTACGCATTTATTGTGACAATGCAACTAATTTCGTCGGTGCACGATCGCAGCTCGAGGACTTTAAGCAGCAGCTATTCGACGAAGCCAACACATTGAATTTGCAGAAGTTCAGCAGCATCGTGGGATTCGAGTTCAAGTTCATCCCTCCGCGTGCTCCCCACTTTGGCGGCTTGTGGGAGGCCGCAGTGAAGTCCATGAAGAGCCTAATGATGAAAAACTTGGGCAACACTGGGCTAACGTACGAGGAGCTTCAAACGATTGCAATCGAGTCGGAGGCAATCTTGAACTCAAGACCAATGGCACCCCTTTCCGAAGACCCAAACGATGGAGAGGCGCTTAGCCCAGCGCACTTGCTGATTGGGTCCTCTTTGATGTCCGTACCGGAGCCTTCAATTGACGAGAGCAGACCATCTTATCTTACGCGGTGGCAGCGCGTAACGTATTTGAAGCAGCAGTTCTGGGAGCTATGGAGGCGTGACTATTTACACACGCTTCAGGAGCGCTCCAAATGGCTCAAACCCCACGCCAACATTCAAATTGGCCAAATGGTGATTGTTCACGAGGATAATACACCTCCCCAGGAATGGATCCTTGGTCGCATCACCAACACGCATGTCGGAGCTGATGGACGAGTACGAGTGGCCGAGATCAAGGTGAAAAATGGAACCATTCGAAGACCCATCTGTAAGATAGCGCCCCTGCCTGAGCAAACTGGTGCTTGAATACTCCTTGGATCATTCAACGGGCGGAGAATGTTCGATGACATCATAAGTCAACATTAATTTTGATTTAATTATTATTATTGTTATGAATAACTTCGTTCAAGCTGATTAATAATTTGAATTCTTTGCCAACTTGTTATATTTAATTACCCCACACTGTAATCATATGCTTATGTTTTGAATTCGCCTTACGCTCTTTTATACATGCAGCTCACACATGTACATACATACATATCTCTCTTTATAATCTCGAAATCGAACATTAAAAATCAGTGCATATTAGAGACCGAAACAAGTCGAACGTTTTATTCCATTCTAATAACTCTGCATTTGGGGGGGGGCCCCACAAATTTTTTTGGTGGTTAATTTTAAATTAAAATTAAATTTCATAATCCTAAACTTGATTATCTTCTCCAAATCGATGCTCTCAATTTAATATGTTAATTTAATGAATTTAGTTTTATTGTGTTTCAAAAAGGATGGTTCCGTCCTAGAGCTTTGTGTACTCAAACAAGTGTGTAAACTGTCGAGCTCCACGGGTGGGCCCCAAAATGTGTAGTGTACGGGGGTGCTGTAGAACTAATTCTATCTCTATACTTCGATAGTCGGTCATCTAACAGCGGATGGTAAATGCTACTAGAGAGGACCTTTGTACCTTCAAGCTTGGGATACGCACTCTTGCTAGGCTCGGGTCTAACTCGCCGTAAGTCGGGGTTCTTCCTTGCTTGAGATGGTACGGTTGCACGCTACCACAATTTATTAGTGCGTAATAATCAAAAGAACAATCAATCGAGACTAAAGGCTAAGCTATCAAAACAATTAATATGATATTAAAGCGCTCCGTCACGCTGAAAAGCAACTGAGAATCTGATAAATTCCTTTTGGAAATCTAGATGTTGTTATTCCGCAAGTCTTTACCCTTCCTTCCATGACATTGTTACTTAAATTCTTGCATTGTCCCTAGGCCAAGATTAAATGATCTCTTCCACATTATTAAGGAAGTGATTGACATAAGTACTCGACAGACCATGAATATTATTTATTCAAACTTAATTTTTAAACAAATCCTATACTTCATTTATAATTATATTTATCCACATATTTATACCCGTTACTCGTAGAGTAAAAGGGTATATTGTATTCGTGCAAAAGTATGTAACAGCTAGAAGGAAGCGTTTCCGACCCTATAAAGTATATATGTTCTTGATCAGGGTCACTAGCCGAGTCGATATAGCCATGTCCGTCTGTCCGTCTGTCTGTCCGTCTGTCCGTCTGTCTGTCCGTATGAACGCTGAGATCTCGGAAACTATAAAAGCTAGAAGATTGGCATTTTGCATGCAGATTCTAGGAGTTCCTACGCAGCGCAAGTTTGTTTCAAAATGGTGCCACGCCCCCTTTAACGCCCACAATCGCTTATATACGATTTTAAAAATTTAAATATTTCGGAAAAGTAAAAATGCAGTTTTATTGTGTTTATCAATACCTATCGAAATGTAGAAGAAAAAATCGGACCATTCGTTAAAAAGTCATGCGTGATCAAAGTTTCTATCACCATCTCCCTCGCACTCCCTTTACCTGAGTAACGGGTATCTGATAGTCGGGGCACCCGACTATAGCGTTCTCTCTTGTTTTCCATTGATTTCATTTATAAAAATTCAAGAATTACCTAACACATAAGTTTAAAGTTTCCTTTCGGTTCAATAGTATTTCTTTTCAATCGATTCTAAATTTATGAGCACTTACAATATTTTAATGAATGTAAACTTAGGAATTTCTCTCGACTTAGAATTACGACAGAGCGGCATCTATAGGTTCTTTAAAATAGGTATTTACGCATTGTTCGTTTTAATGTGTACTCACGACCTCTTCTTTATGTTCCATAGGACGCGTTGCAAAGTTGGGCCCAAGTTCACGTTGACGTTGAGGAGCTGATGGTCAAAATGTATAATAAAACCTACATTAAATGAAATTAAATTAGAGAGTTTCCCTTAAAGGCAAATGAATTGATACATTAATTTTACTCCTAGTGGGCGATCATCGATCGCCGGACGATGTCCGATGGGGAAGCCTTTGGTGGTGGCTAGTCTGTCCTCTGTTCACGACCAATGTAGGGGTGCCTTCGTTGTACCTTGCGGCGGCACGATCCGGGTTGTCGCTGTTTGGCACTAGATGTTGTTGCTCCCGCGTTGAATAATGTGATCTGAATATCATCGGCTTCTAACGGCCGGTGTCCAATTGCCGACACACGTGGGTGGTTGCGCAATCACGCTGGCCAAGATTATGTTCTCCACTGGGCCGCTTTTACCAAGAATTTGGGCAAATGCGGTTTTATGCTGTTCCTTTGCGTTCACTCTCACAAAATCCACTTGTTAATATTAATAACCGCCTGACTAAATTATTGACCACAGATCGCGATTATATAATTGTGTAAAGTTTAACACGTGTTTTAAATATGTAACTTAGGCCATCATTCGATTGATCGAACGTTTTGCCAAGAGCGTAGATCAGAGAATGAATGCAAAAATTGGAAACGAAGTGCAGATAAGCCGCGGTCGCAGAGCTTTCCGCTGCAGTTCTAAACAATGGTTTAATCGTATGATTTTTTGGCCGTCGCGACTGATCTGCTTATCTCGACTTATTGATATTGGTATTTGTAGAGAGTAAATTTCCTAGGCCTCTGGCGCAGTTAAGTTATATTTATCTATGCGAGGGTGGGTTGAATAGTTCTTTATCGTAAAAGCATAACTGGTCACTACAAGTATTAATATTATTTCACGTATGAGCCAATATGCCAGCCATTATTCCAAAGATAAACTGAGCAAGTTGTGTTCCTTTTTTATGTTTTTGTAAGAATGGTTGTCCTTACAAGTGCTGTGTAAATGATATTTAGTGTCGGTCTCGTGGACGCTACCTTGAGATAATCCATCTTTAACTGGATGACATTCATTAAATATTATGGTAAGGCAATGAACTGTGCAGCTCGACAATCTATGATCTTTATCTCATAGTCTGGGGAGAGTTTGATGATTTAAACGGCATTACAACAATTTGGTAAAGGGGTCTCCCTGGTACAGTAAATGAAGACGCCAATCACTCAATAAGTATCTTTTTCCGCTCTAAAGTTTCTGTCTGTTATATCATTCTTAAATTGGCCACATGAAAACTTTTCTGATAACGCTAATACCATTCACTAGCAATACCCTCAAACATAGTACTCGCGTTAAACCCACTAACTATAAAATGTTCTATGATCCGTAGCTTCCAGTTGAATATGATTTTGGGGATCTGAAAAAGCTAAAATACGCGATGTGTTGTTGCTAGTATTTGGATATTATATACATTTTGTTGTCCTTGTTGACATGCTGCCAAAATTTCTGTTGATGGAAAAGACTGGGAGTTAGAGCAGGCACGGAAGATTTATTTTGACCCGACTTATCAGCAAAACAATTTCTGTGAAAGTCGTGTCCTCAACTAGTGTGATTTTATCCACCATCTTGGTTGTGTGCGGTGCATTCGAGCGATTATTCCTATGGAAGCTATTTGATATAGTCGCCCGATCCGGCTCGTTCGGACTTATATGCTTCCTGCAATAGAAAGACTTTTGGGAAAATCAAGCAGATAGCTTTAAAACTAAGGGACTAGTTTGCGTAGAAACGCACGGACGGGCAGACAGACGGACGGACAGGCGGACATGGCTAGATCAACTCTCCTGGGGATACTGATCAATAATATATATACTTTATACTTTATTATGCAAACTTTTGACTGAAACTAGAATACCCTCTGCAAAGGTGTAAAAAGTTTAACTTTGTTGTTTTTATTTTTTTTTGTTCTTTGGGACTTGGTAATATTTAAATACAATAAATTTACGGTTTTAATTAAATTAAAATCGGACATCTATATCATATAGTTCTCATAGAAAAATAAAAAAATTAAAAACAAAAAAGATTTAAAACAAGAAAGGAAAGCTAACTTCGGGCGAAGCCGAAGTTGATATACCCTTCCAGAATACTCTGTAAATTATATTCTCCGAAATTATTCATATGATGCATTCTTAATACTCATAAAAAATCCCAACTTCCTAACATTAAAAACATCAAATTTATGGCATTTCCAATCGTTCAGTTATATGGCAGCTATAGGATATAGTCGGCCGATCCTTGTGAAGTTTTGTAGGTCGGATTGATTGGCCAAATATAAAACCCATAGAAAATCCCAACTTCCTAACTTTACAAACACCAAAGTTATGGCATTTCCGATCAATCAGTTATATGACAGCTATAGGATATAGTCGGTCGATCCCAGTCGTTCCGACTTATATACTGCGTGCAAAAAAAAGAAGGGTGTGTGAAAAGTTTCAGTTCGATATCTTTAAAACTGAGAGACTAGTTTGCGTAGAAACAGATAGACGGACAGACAGACGGTCAGACGGACATGCTTATATCATTATTATTGTAACAGAGTGGTGCCATTTTCGTAAATTTTGATCGGCAACGCCACATGGCAAGCTAAAGTATCGGTCAACAACTAACTCTAAATTGTCTCGTTCGTGAATTCTCATTATCTATAATTTTGTTGGGGCGCAAAAATGCCGAAATACGAACCGAATAAGCGTCATTTGTGGGAGATTTTACTTTTCGCGTTCAATTCAAAGAAAAAACGGAGCTGAAGCGCGTAGAATGATTGTTCAAATGGTGAGTCATGTATCAGGTAAAGAACGTGTAGGGAATGGTTTGCGAAGCTTAAATATGGCGAGTTTGACGTGGAAGACAAGAATAACCCGGTCGATCCCATGAAAAATTGTGAAGACGCGGACTTGGAGGCTCTGCTGGATGAAGATTCTTGCCAGACACAACAAGTTGTGGCCAGCGATGGAAAATATTTTGAATAACTGGATTGTAGCTAGTTATATGAAATAAAGGATGGAATTTTGAAAAATGGCGGTTTTCTACTTTGCGGCGCTCCAGAGTGCACAATATAAATGCATAAACATTAGAAAATATATATAATAATAATAATAATATAATAATAAGCCTAGGCTAAGAGAAAAACATGAAGCTTAAATAATAAAAGCATGAAGCGAAAGTCAAATAGTAAAGCGGGCGCGCCAAAAGGAAGAGCTGGGCA